TTTAAAATTCTTAATTTAGATTATCTCAATAGAGTTTACAACGACCTTCAGCAGTCTGCAAAAGCACTAGCACATATTATCAATACTGTAGCATGACCATTGGTCATGTTGATTGAGATGATGATAGTTGTAGTTCAACATATTCTTAGTTTATTGTCTTAATTACCACATTATACTATAATTCCACTTTACTCAATCTGGGTGCTTTTTTTGATATGTGAACGTCAACATTCAGTAAGTCCTCAGCCACTGCCGAGTTTTCTTGAAATTGGCCCATCTATCTGGAAAACATTCAGATATTGAAAGCTACTATAATTAAATAATCCAGGATTTTCAAATGCTTTCTAATGTGCAAGGTTATCCTCACTAATGGATATCATATATTTCAATAGAAATTTTGTAAGTACTCATTTTATGTTCTACCCCCAAAATCCCAATAACATGACAACATGAGAAGCCATCTTTCTCACCATAAACTGGCCCAGTTACTTTCATCAGCAGATATCTTCAGTTTTTTTATGAGACAACTAGCAAACAAACAAGAGATTAAGACTTTTATTACAAAAAAGACTTTATTATACAATTATATACAAAATAAACTGAATGTTCTCATCCTAAAGACTATTATTTCTGATTTGTGTCATTTTAGAATGATATTACTCAATATTCTTAGTAGTTTTAAATTTGAAATTTCATTTTAACCTTAAAACTCTCTGTACTTATCAATAACGTTCTCTGCCTGAACGCAAAATTGTTCACTTTACCCTTCCCTGTTTTCACCTCACCATGATTATCTATTATTAATACTTTTTTTGGGCTCTTATTATTTTACAGCTTAACTCTTATTTTATTGTTTTATTACTATTCCGACTTTTCATTCCCATCTTCTCTTTTTCCGCAGCATTCAGGTTTTTCATTAAAGTCTCTGTCTCTGAATTGGTGGCTCTCAATAAAATCATATTGTTCATCTGCTCATGGTGTAATTTCTCTTCATTAACCTCCATCCTTTTGCAAATATCTTCTATGGTAATTTTAGGGGTGAATGTACAAAGCACTTTTGTCAACTTTCTTTTTTACCCCAGTCCTTGAAGCATTTATTCAGCTTCTTTACATATTATGCTTTCTTTGAGTCCAGCAGCCATCACCATCTTTGACTTTGCATAAAACTAGATTTGAGAAAGACGTGGCTGCCTCATATCAATATCAATAGCGCATAGACTTATATACTGCTTCACAATGCTTTAAACCCATGATGGCGAACCTATGGCATGCGTGCCAGAGGTTGCATGCAGCAACTTCTCTGATGGCACACCAGCCGCCACCACAGTTCAGCTCCACAGCATATGTGTGTGCGCCTCCCACCAGCCATCTGATCTTCGGGTCTCTGACACGCATATGTGGGGGGTGGGGGGCATGCGGGGGGACATGCGCATGCTTGTGGGGGGGGCGGAATGCATGTGGGAGGCACACACATGTGCAGGTGGGGTGGGGCACATGCGGGAGGCAGTGTGCTTTAGATACTCGGTCTGGAAAAGGTTAACCAATTACTGCTTTAAGCTCTCTCTAAGCAATTCACAGAGTCAGCATATTGCCCCCAACAATCTGGGTCCTTATTTTACCAGCCTCGGAAGGATGAAAAGCTCAGTCAACCTCGAGTCAGTCAGGATCAAACTCCTGGCAGTGAGCTGAATTAGTCTGCAATATTGTATTCTAACCATTGTGCCACCATGGCTCTTCCTCATCTTCTCCAGTCTTCTCTTGCAGGTCAGTTTGCTTGAAATATATTAAGCTTTCAGTCTGCTGGATTGCTGACATCCACATCTTCAACAGCAATCTTTTTTCCTTGCCACTTCATCTTCAGTCTCTTTGGGATAACTTATCTCCCACTCCCCCTCCCCCACCTGCCAGTAAACCATTTTGCTGTTGTCATGGATAGCAGTCTGTTGTCAACTCAGTGACTAATTCCTATCTGTTCCTATTTAATACTTCTCAGCTTCATTTCCCCATTCCTGAATGGTAGTTTTCTACATACCACAGAACAAATTCTTCTGGCAAGAGACATTAACAAGTGGCAGATAGAGAATCTTCTGTCATAGCAGGAAATGTCTGCCTCTGAGAAACTGTTTGTGTGAGAGGACTTTCTTGTATGTGGTTCCCAACTAAGGAATGAATTCCCCATGTTGGCTGGGCCCCAACTTTCCCAAGGAGATAAAACACATAATTTTGCCACACTTGTAAAAGGCAAACTCGATTTTAATTGTATCAATTTTATGAGTGTGTACTATGATTTTATATTTCATTTTATTATTATAAATTTCCTTGAATGTTTATATAGGAAGAAAGGTGTGGTATACATTCTGAAATTAAAAATTAAATAAAATGAAACTATGAAATGGTGTTCATATTTTCCTGAAACATTTATGAATTCCTGGTCCTTGGAAAATGCTGAATAGAACTTAAAATTATGATATTAATTTCCTGAAGGCTTTTTTTTTTTGTTTGCTTGCTTTCCTTGGACATATTGTGCCTGACAAAATCTGCAATGCATCAATTGAGATACTGTGCTTGTTTTTGTTATATCTCAGATGACATTTGAGGCTTTTTTTTTTTTTGAGACTTTGCTATAAACCAGAAACCTCCTTAACAGCACAGCAAGATAGTAACTATCTATCAGCCCTATTAGGTCAAAGAGATCAGGAAAGCAAATCCACAGGAAGATTTATTTATTTTATTAAGTTGAGTATAGCAAAAGGATCCTGCAAGTCTGCTTATGTTTCACTTTCCTCCCCCCCCCCACTTTATAATCCATTGACTCAGGGAGGAGCCAGGCAGAGATTCTTCGTAATACTATTTCCATGTGCCTTTCAAGGCTGTCTCCATGGTTCTCTATCCGAACTCTTGTTTTCCATTCCTGGCAGAGCCCTGGCATTCTGTATTTGTATCTTCTCATCACTGATTACTGCTTGGTTAACATGAACCATTCTTGTAATAGAAATAATACTATTGTTTCTTTCATCCATTTTTAAAAAAAAGAGGTAAACAGCTTATTTGTGTCCTTTACATGTGCTGGGACAAACATCATGTCAGCGTTCCAGAAAACCCCAACTCCAAGTAAAGACGTGAAAGCAAGCATTTTTCAAAGTTTTCTTTACTGGAATAGATAAACTGGCACATCTGGGAAAACCCGAATCTGAAAGGTACGGGTTTTCCCTCAGTAAATCAAAACCCCAAAAACCATCCTCTGTTGATCACATGCTCCAATCAACCACCGTCCCATCTTGACTTAAAACTCCGACCACTCCTTCTCCAGATGCTGGATCGCCCTGACCTTGACCGACAGGAAGAATGCTATTATGTCTACCAACAACCCCTCTACTAAATCCCCCCTCCTACTTTCCCACACATGAGAAGGTGGCAGCATGGAAGCTTCCGGCCTAATATGGTTTCCAAAGCTGACACATCATTTGTGATAATCTAGTTTAAAGGGTAAAATCAGAGGCATGGCAGGAGAAGGATACTACAAAATCCCCATTCTCTCCCCACTCTCTCTCTCTCTTTCCTTCAAAAACACCCCCACACCCCCCATTTTTGGCCTATACTCCCCGTTTTTGGCCTAGCAGGCTTCAGGGAAGCCTGCTGGGAGCAAAAATGCACCCCCATCCCACCCATGTAAAAAAAAGGTTCTGACGATCATGCGCCACAGCTATGATCCTCAGAGCTTTTTTTAAAACTTTTAAAAGCGTTTTTTTACTACTGACTCGGGCGAATAGGTAGTAAAAAAATGCTTTAAAAAAGAAAAAAAAGGCTCCGATGATCGCATGGCACTGCTGTGATCGTCGGAGCCTTTTTTTTACTTTTCTAAAGCATTATTTTACTATCTATTCGCCCGAGCCTGTAGTAAAAAAATGCCTAAAAAGTAAAAAAAAAAAAAAATTCCGATGATCAGCTGAGCGATGTCAGAACTTTTTTTAAAAAAAATTTAAAGCATTTTTAACTACCGGTTCTGGCATGTACCCCTGCATGTGCAGATGGAACAAAACATTACTTCCTGGTTAAAACCATGAAGCAATGACAACCCGGCGGGTGAGCGGAGCCTCGCGCCAGGATCGCTACCAGTTCTCTGAACCACCCGCCATAATCGCTACCGAATTGGGCGATCCAGTCCAAACTGGAAGCATTTCACCGCTGATCCAACTCCTTGAAAACTTCAGAAGATTACAGATAAAAAGGAAAACAATATAGTATATATAATAGGAAATAGTGGCTGTTATATATATATATATATATTGTTTCTATGCAGTGTATTTTTGAATCAAATTGAGACCTCTTGTTTTTATAATATTAGTGAATTTATGTATTATATGATATGGTCAGATCTTATTAACTTTAACTGTATTTTTTAAAGATTCCTCAGAAGGACTCATGGTGATTTTAGCAGCACTGTAGGAGAAGGAGTGGAATAGTCTGGGGGCGGAATCAAAAGAGGAATTAGCCTAGAATCCCTAAATTGCAAGAAGTGGACTAAATCCAACCTCTCTTGAATTCTGTTAACCCTTATCTAATACCAAAATAGTGCTGTTAGTTGACTAGATTCCTATGCATATACATGAGCAATATTGTACATCAGTTTAATTGGAACTTAACACATGACTCTGGCTTTCACATCTGACAGCACTTATTTAAATCTTATCCATCATTTATTATTTTCCTGTGATTACTTATGTTATAAAGTAAGTTTTTCATGTTATATTTACCTATTTTTATATAGTGATTTTTTAAAAATGGCATCTTAGAATGTTGGTCTAATTTCCCAAAGAAGAAGAGTTATGTTTTCTCCAGTAACATGCCTTAAAATGCAAAAGGGTAAGAGGTGGCACTATACAATATCCCACACTTTTTTTTTACCATTAGGCAAACTGTCTCACACACTGTTGGTAGGAGAATGATGTCATAAAGACATCCTACAGAAGGATAGGTAGTAACAATAACTATGAAATGTTACACTTGTGCATTGAGTTAGTTTTGCTAAGAAGTAAATGGATTCTGTGTCTAAGGATAACAGGTAAGGAAAAAGCAGCAGAAATGTAGATAATTAGATCTTTTAAATGTGTTTCTTTCACTAAAATATTAATATAGTTTTTCAGTGGGCTCTTTGAAGCTCTTTTATACTAACAGTAATAGGAGACAAGGTCTTTATTGAATTTAAATATGGTATTTTTCAGAGGTAAAGGTTAAAAAAGGACTGCTACTGATCACTGGATGGTGAATGATTTATAATGACTCATAAAAGAAGAAATTCAAAACAGAGGAGACACTGATTGTATCTACTTCTTATAGACTCAGAAAAAAACAAAAATTGACATTGTTACTTGCATTGATCAGAGTTTGAATATTATAAAACTTAATTCAATAATAAATTAGAATAAACATCTTTATGTTTTCTTGCAGATAAATAAATACATTATATGTTTAAAGTAGGAAAAACTTCCATCATGATGCAGAATTTGTTTCAGTCTTTTGTGCAGGATTTGTCTAGACCAGTGATAGCTAACCTTTTACGGACTGAGTGTCCAAAGCACGCGCGCCCCCCTGCATGCACCCCACCCCACCCCACACGCATGTGCGCATGGCCCCTTCACACACCTCACCCCTGCACATGCGCACTCACCTCCACATGCGCCCTGCCCCACCATGCTCCACCCCTATGCATGCATGCACAGCACACGCCTGTCCCCTCCGCACATGTGTGGCAGATACCCAATGACCAGTTGGCTGGTGAAAGGCACGCATGCATGCACGGTGGAGCTGAAGTGGGGCAAGAGCTTGCGTGCCCACAGACAGGGCACTGCGTGCCACCTGTGGCACGCATGCCATAGGTTCTCCATCACAGGTCTAGACTAATGACACCCACATTGTTCATTGCAGCTAGTTTATCTTTTTCTCATTAATTCAGTGTGCAATATTTGTTTGAAAAGTAGAAGCCGCACAGGGAAACTGAAAGATGGAAAACATAGATTTCCCATAAAGCCCAGAAAATAATACAAAGTGATTACCTCACCTATTACTGTGCAGGGTATTTTTTTTCCTAAATAATAAAATTATATTTTATGATCATTGGCTCTTGGGAATAATTTGATATTTTTCTTTTTCAATAGGAGTGTTTTTAGGAAAATTCCTGTGCTGATCAAGCATGGTGGCAATCAAATACCACAGAAAAGTGTAACAGGATTTTCCTACTATATCAATTCAGCCCAAATTAGGAATTCCCCACTTTGAATGGGAAATTATATTTATTTCAGCTCTATTGGCATTTTCCTATCTTTGAATTTCTAAATTAATTAATTCATGCCTAATATCTCTTAGCAGCCATATAGATTCAGCAGAGGAATGAAAGATATGTCATATGTTTGAATCCTGAGTGGATCTCTCTGTTTTCCTTTTCGAATTAATGAATAGATTAAGCCTAAGTATTCCTATGGCTCTTCAAATTTAAAGCTAGTTGAAGTCTGTTTATCAGATTAGGAAGGTTACATTTATCACTAGATTCAAAATTCAATCTCCTTCCTTATTTTCTATGTAGATGGTCATGATGACATTTATGCCACATAAAGCTCCTAGAAAAATAAGGTCTCATGAGAAATAAGATGACTGCAAAAGAAGTTTTAGAATATGAATTGTATTAAATAGAAGTTACATACCAAACTTCTCAATACCTTAGGACTCATGGTATTATAGAACGTCATCTTTCATTCTTTAATTGTTATCTACAGATGTATCCATTTTTATGAACGTGAGCCACCGCATATTGGCATTAGTTTCAATCACCTCATTCCCAGCAGTAACTTCTTTTTTCTTTATTTTTGCTCTGCTTGCTTGGGTTTTTACAATTATTACAGTGTAATGCTTTCCCCCCCCCTATTTCATAACTATTATGAAAATGGGCCAAATTAATCAATTATTGGCTCAGTGATTAGGAGTTGAAAACTAGAAGTTGGACAAATTTAATTTAAGGGTAATGATGCAATGTAAGAAATCCTTCCATTTACATATAATTTTATGGTTCTTTGGTGTGCTATTCTCCCTTGTAAAAGTAAATTTATGGCAGTATTTGAAGTAGGAAAATGAATTTCCACCCAACTTCCCTTCTCCCTTAATTGATTTAAACATTATAGCTGGAAAAAGAGTTACTAACTTCTAGCAAAAAGTTTTGAGTCAACTACACATTTAACATATTTATGAATGTTAATGAAATTGCAGTGTCTTCAGTTAAAATGTTTTGAAAGCACAGTGGTACCTTGGTACTAAGCGGCTTTGAAACTCATTAAATTTGGTACTCAACACATTTTGACATGAACATTTTGTCCAGGTACTCATCGTTTGTTTGGTACTCAATGCACAAGCTAGAATTTGTTGATGTCAGCTGCCTAGTGATTCACTACATTATTCCTTATGGGAAAAAATTGTTTAGTACTCATCATTTTTGGTTAACGATGAGTATCAAGGTAACACCATAGTTTATGACTATGTTTTGCAACAAAAGGAATAGGTAAATAGATGATCGTAACAGTTGCTCTTAATTATAGTTATGTTATTCTCTCTCCTGTCTCAGTGTGTTAAAATTTAGTCTGTGAGAAATTCAAAAGTGTAAAATTCAATGATACTGTCCCAAACTATAATTATTACTCCAAATTCAAATTAGGACATTTAGGGAGATGATGGAAGGATGGCTGGATGACTGGCTGGCTGGCTGGCTAGCTAGATAGCTAGATGCTAGCTAGCTAGCTAGCAATGAATAGATGGATGGATGGATGGATGGATGGATGGATGGATGGATAGATAGATAGATAGATAGATAGATAGATAGATAGATAGATAGATAGATAGATAGATAGATAGATGATGTTTGAGGGCACTTCTTCAGCAGTTTCAAATTCAGGTGACCTTAGAAAGGCATTAAAAATATCAGAATTCATTTTTGCAGACTCATAATTAAGGATGTGTCATATTCCTAAATAAAAACTGTGTCCCAACTGTAAACTCTGAAAGGAGATAAACTTGAAAACCAGAATGAAGTGATTTTGGTGATTTTAATCCAGGCATGAAATATCAAAGAGCTACAGCAAATATATAGAAGCAAATAAAGAAGGTAAAAGATAAAGATCAATCAGGTCTGGAGTACTTAGTTCTGGCTGAATGTGCATTAAAATGCATTAAGTCTAGGAAAGAAGCACAGGTCAACAATGTTTGAGATAAACTAGTTAGACTTCCTAAACACAGTAGTTCACAAAAGTGCAGCCTTATGAAGTTTGCTTATAGAAATAGAAATTAAGGATAATACTCTGTTTTTCCCAAAATAAGACATCCCCTGATATTAAACCTAATTGGGCTTTTGAGCGCATGCCAATAAGGCCAAGCACTTATTTCAGGGTTCAAAAAAATATAAGACAGGGTCTTATTTTTAGGGAAGCACAGTAGAGTTGGTAGAAGTAATATGCAAATATCCTTAAAATAGGACAATAGAATTGCTTTGCAATTTGCAAAAGACTCTTATTAAAGTTTGCCACAAACAGATGCTACAGTGGGGCATTCTGTTACAGGTTTTGTAAATAGGTACTAGGTCAAGGATTACCTGTAGTTGGCATTTTTCTGCATCTAACTATTTGGGAAAACAAAAGTGGTTTATTGATTAGGGAAGGGATGAGTAGTTCAGTTCCAAATGTGGCTTTCTTTCCCCAAATATCTTTTTTCTCCTGGTTGCATCTAAGATAATTGTTGCTTTAACACTCATTCTATTTTAGTTTTTAAAGGAAGGTGAGTGCAATAATGCTGAGTGACTGAACCAAAATTTCAGATTCTATTAATAGCTAAAGAATGACAACAACAGTAATATAAATAAAACAAATAAATGATTCACCATGAGAAGAAAATTACTATGGGGTAGGGAATCCTGATCACCAATCCATGTGCTTCTTACTAGGGAAAGAAATAATTGTTTGCTTACTAGGGAATTTTATAGGTTTCCTTTCAGTGTGCTAAAATAGATTCTATAAAATCTAATTTGCCTCATGAGCCAAATCAGGTGACTTCCTCACAAATGTTCTCGTAGTCTTTTGAATCTATGTTTTAGACAAAGCTAAATACAGTCTCCAGAATGCTGCAGTAAGGTTTCAGCTAAAGTACTTAGGCAAATATCTTCTTCAAAAATGTGTGATTTTTTTTTAAAAAAAACAACTTCAACTTTTCAATTACTATACTAGATAATCATTCATTTAACATACATAGTATTTTTTATTTGATGAGCTATTAATAGTTTGTCAGTGTTCTGAATTTTTTTTAACTGGGCCATCATCTCATTGTAACCTGTTTAATTTTTCCTTATGATTCTGCAGTTCTGACTTTATTGATTTATTTATTAAGGCCACCTAATTCCAGAAAGGAATGAACAGCTTCCAATATTTTCAAGACATAAATTAGAAACACAGCTAAAACAACCATGACTGTCTTGACTAAAACAGCATTCCCAACATTCAAAAATATGTATTTATTGCTTTTGTTATTTTTCTTAGCTTTGGCAATTACCCACTGTATGACAATCTCTCTCTCTCTCTCTCTCTCTCTCTCTCTCTCTCTCTCTCTCTCTCTCTCTCTCTCTCTCTCTCTCTCTCTCCATTCGGTACCATGTCATATGCCCAACTTAAAGAAAATGTAGTAATAGAAATAGACAATACTGATACATATATTTTAATAAGAGGTGAAAGCCTACCAAAGCCCTAGGAAACAATATTGCACCATTTGTGATGAAATGAAAAGTGCCCTTGGTAAAATAGATAAGCTTTGCATGACTTGTCCCTGTGATATTACTGGCTGATATTTGTGATAAAAGGGCTATTGGCCATGGCTTTGGGAAATTCTAAGGTGAACAAGTGGTGTTCCATAATCTCCCTCTGAGCCAGACTAGGCTGAGGAATATATTTAAAGAATATACTTCCTTAAGGAAAGTGACATTTTATTTATTTGGTGCCACCACACAAGGAAGTGCTATTGACAAACCATTACTTAAAAAAAAAAAAAACTATTATTTTCTGTATTTTCTACATATGTTATAATTTAAGTCATTCTGCCATTAAAAAATAAAAGAAATTTATCATATCAGAGTTTTAAATAGTATAGCAATCCTTAGGTTACTGAGTAATTTTATGTAAGTTACATTGAAAAAAAATTCTGTATCTTCTTGATTTTAAATAAGATCCTAGAGAACTTGTGGAGCACCTTGCATTTCCAGATGTGTGTTCTTGTACTCACTGAAGAGTCAAATGTTCCCATTCTCACAAATATTCATACAGTTCTCTGTGTACCTAATAATTATAACCACTTTTACTCATTTGAATAAATGTGTAGTTTTTTTTCTTCCCAATATACACTTTAACACGTGAAGAACATTCATTATGATATATTAATGATACAAAACAGATAATTAATAATTGGCTTCTTTCTTAAACAGAGTGCACGTTGTTATAAGTTAAATATGTAAACAATTAGAGCTACTCCACAAATAATTGAACTGAATTTGTTGTATATGTGTAGATTCTCATTCAATTTCTGGCACCAGAACTTAATCAATCCAGCTTGATTTAAATTTCTGGGAAGCTTTCTGGAAAGACTTGAGGCTTAGTTGTTGTACATTATATATTTGTTTCAAATACTGTTGTATTGATAAATCATGGCATAAAATCAGGACTATGAATGCACATGTAATATACAACTCCTACAAAACCTTCTGGAACCTCATTTTACCCTTTGATTTGGTAAATTCTCAAGTGCAATACGCAAAGTTCCATCAAGGGTAGATCTATGAATTTGATTTTCAAATTCTCTTCCCCCTCCAATCATATTTAAATCAACCAATGACTAAAAGCTCTCTCTTTTTTTTCAGAGAGAGCTCCTGCACTGAATAAGTTTCTGGAATGCTTTCTTAAAATCTTCATTAAAGATTGTGTAAATCAGTGGGTTAACAAGAGAATTGATATAGCCTAACCATGTCAAAAAATTAGACATTTCTTCTGAAATTTGACATCTTTCACAGGTATTAACAACCACCTCTTTTACAAAGAAAGGCAGCCAGCAAATCACAAAAGCACCCAAAATCAAACCAAGGGTAGTTGCTGCTTTTCGCTCTCTTGTGGTAGAAATGCGTTGCCTTTTCCACCCTTTTTCGTTCTTAGATTCTGAATCAGGGCTTCTCAGTGAAAACCGAATTCTGTCCAAATCTCCCGAAGGGTTAGACCTTTTATCTTTTGTACATGATGCGGTTGAAGAAAGTCGGCAGCTTTTCTCATTTGCTTCCAAGAGGTCTTGCCCATTTGCCTCCTCTTTAAGAACCCGACTCATGCTCCTTCTATGAAAAGTCTTGGCTGCTTTGTATATTTTGTAGTAAAGAATCAGAATTAATGCCAGTGGGATATAAAATGCTCCAAATGTAGAATATATGGTGAAAGCAATGTGGTCATGCTTAATGATGCATTCGTCATCTTTGCTGTCTGCTTGATGCCTCCAAAACAACGGTGGCATTGAAATGAAGATGGAAATAATCCAGACAATGGCAATCATAAAGCCAGCATGTTTAGGTGTTCGCTTCCTGGCATATTCCACAGCATCAGTGATTGCTCTGTAACGATCTAAAGCAATGGCCGAGAGATGCAGGATGGAACAAGTACAGCAGGTGATGTCAACGCTAAGCCAAATATCACACATCACCCCACCCATAATCCAGGTTTCTTTGACAATATAGACAATGCTGAAGGGCATGACGAGGATGGCCACAAGGAAATCAGTGACTGCCAAAGAGCATATTAAATAGTTTGCAGGGTGATGGAGTTTCCGTGTCACAATTATTGCAGTCATCACTAGAGAGTTGATAACAGTTGTCATTACTGCTAGAACAGAAAGTGTAATAGAAATTAGAACCTTGGAAGTTACTTTTTTAAATGATTCTGTATCATTTTGTTCCAGTGTATAATTTTGTTCAGTAAAATTTAGGAAATCCATTATTTCCGTGAAGATTGTCTTTGCCTAATGAAGATACCTGCAGGGAAATAGTTTAGAAAGAAAAAGCAACAATGTGTTATTATATTATTATTACTGTTATTAGTTCATGTATTAATATTTATTACTATTTTCTATTTGCCCCCCTTTTTTTCTTGTAAATGGTATACCCTAATAATACACTGTATTTAAAATGTTTGTGAATAAAATAATAATAATAATAATAATAATAATAATAATAATAATAATAATAATAATAATGAAAGAAAGAAAAAGCAATAATTAAAACTCCCTATTCTATATATTTCTCAGTATTATGCAATATACAAGGGATTTTTTAAAAGACACAACTGGACTTTCTCGTTTTTCTTTGAAAATGTTTCACTTCTCATCCAAGAAGTATCTTCAGCTCCCAGGAGATGAAGAAGCTTCTTGGATGAGAAGTGAAATGTCTTCAAAGAAAAACAAGAAAGTCCAGTTATCTCTTGAAAAAGCACCTTTGGGACAACTATGACCTGGATGACGGAGAATCTCCATAGACATTTTTTTGAAACTTTCTTCCCAATCTTTTCTGTCACTCTTTGAATAGAGTGTATTTGAGGATTCTTATAGAAAAAAAGGAATCAAATATGTTTTTCATGTAATTGAAGTTGATTTTATACCTAAGATTAATACATCAACATACATGCTATATCTGTTGCACTATTCAATTTCAGGATTAGCAACATTCCAAAGTAAAGAAAGGCAGGGGAAAATAGTTTTATTATTTATTTATTTATTTGTTAATTAGAGAATGATATAATTAGAAGAACAGTTTCTGTTCTTCTATTATATTCTTCTAATTTCCCCATATGTAGACATCCCTTGCTTCCATAACATCCATATAGCATTTGATATTCCATACAATGCATTTAGAATGAAGTTCAAGATTGTTTAAGCAAAACATGTGTCATATTAAATCTGCCTCTGCATTTTCTTCTTCTAAATAATAACAGGGATCAGAATAGGGCAGGTGGCACAAGTGGAGTACCTGTCAACCCTGAAGCTGACCTGACCAGAGCCATATTGGAGCTTCAGTGTTACCACACTGGAGCTGAGGGACAGGGAGGAGGGGATTAGAGATAGAGGGGTTTGTGTAGCCAAAATAAAATACTTTCTCTTGAGAACCAAGGACATTCTCACACCTACACTGTGGAAGAAGGAGGGAGATCCCCAGATGACCTGACAGCGTCTTGATTGGACCATGTGACTGATTGTTTGGGATTTGGGGAAAACTTTCTCTTTTAACTAGGTGAAAACCACAGGAACCTTTAGAGTAGGTTTTCACCAGATATGTGCCAATATGATATTTCTAAAAAAGCTATCCTTTGAGGAATTTGCCTGCCTCAGAGTTTTGCTTGCTATGGATCTATTACTTGGAACCCTGACGGTGCCATTGAACCCTTCCTCCCTGCTACTGTCATTCTGAACTGTCATTCTCAAAACTGGTATTATCTGCAAAAAATAAGATGTTTATCACAAAACAAAACACACAAATACAGTTATTAGAAAAAGTACTGATAAGGTGCATGATTTACAGTTAAGAAAAGAAAACAAGCCAATCTCAAAACGCTGCTAGTATTTCACCCAAAGCAGAATTTATTTCAAAAGTGTTTTGAATAGCATTTTGTTCTCAAGGAATAGTCTTAAAAGATGAGAGGGATTTTATGTTAATGCAATTTGACATTTTACCACCCTAGTTCTCAAGGGTAGATTCAGAAAAATCTTCTTTACAGAAAAACCCTGCCCTTTCAGTCTGGCTGCTATTGAGTCATAGGCTCACATCCTAATATATTGTGATTTCTACAGAGATTCCCTTAAGACTCTGAGCACTTTTCTCTAGCTATTTCCCTGGCAGTCAGCTGAGTTCTATGTTTGTCACCAACTGTCAGACAAGAACTGAAGAACAATAGTTTTCATAGCCAAATTCATATTGATAGCCTACAGGACTAAATCACTGTTAATAGCAGATCTAGCCATGAAATATCTTATTCACCTATATTTTATTGGCTGTAATAATAGATTCTCACAAGTCTGCTTATGTTTCATCTTCTCTTCCCCTTATAACCCACTGAGTCAGGAAGAGTCTGACTCTTCCTAATACTATTTCCATGCTCCTTTAAAAGCTGCTCCATGGCTCCCTGTACCAACTCACATTCTTATTTTTCATTCCTAGCAGAGCCCTGGCATTTAGTATCTGTCTTTTTAGTTATTGATAATTGCCTGGTGATTATGAACATTCCTGTAATAGAAGCAGTGTTACTGATTCTTTCTATTTTTTAATAGATATGATATCTATCTATTTTTTAAAAGAGACATGCAATATATTTGTATTCTTCAGATTTGCTTAGAAACAGCATTTGTTTAAAAAATATCATAGCAACTGACAGACATAAGTGCCTGAGTACTTACATTCAAATGGGAAAAATAAAATAATATCCAGCCATTGCACCATCCAGGAAAAAATAATTTGGATAACTTCAAGATATAACATTTATGTATTTTAAAACCAGATACTGATCAGTGTAAGAAAGTAATTATTACATTCCACTTAATCACTTTTGTTAGATCAGGCGCAGGGGAAGAAGACGCGACCAGCGATGGTCCATTCAGTATTTTATTCAGCTCAAGAATAGAATGCTGGCTGCGCTGCCGGAGCTCTCTTTTATAGCGCTCCGGCAGGCTGGGCCGCCCAGTGACAGCAGTTCATTTTTCCCGCCGGTGGATTAGCCAATCCCCGACAGATGTCCTTATAAGGACATAACACCCCTCCCCTCCTAGTTCGTAGTCTGTCCATCACTGTCAATAAAAGTTATGTAATCGCGCAGGTAGGCGGGACGTCTGATAGTTCTGGTTGACCTGCGCAGTCCCACTTGAGCTTCACTGCCTACCAGAGCAGGCGGAGCGCCTGTTTCCTCTGGTTCCTGCCCTGGAACCATCCGGAGTTCGGCCGTCGAGTGTGCGGGCCCTGTCCCAGCACGTCCGGCTGAGTCTCAAAGTTCTCCTTGCTGGTGTCGCCGGACCTCTCCCTGTCCTGACTGCTGGATGCTTCGCGGCTGGACATTGCTGCCGATCGGTGGGGAGCAACTGATGCCCAGTAAGTCCTTGGTTTTTACTTTTTCCTTGGTGGCTTGCGATGATGGGGAGTCTGGTTGGGCCCCCGGTTCCTGTTGCCGTTGTTGTTGCCGATGTTATTGTTGTTGTTGTGGTTGCCTCTGTGTATCTGGTTGGTGTGGCTGATGGCTGACCCCGCCGGGGGGGTCATTTGTCTACCTTGTTGGGCTGGTGTAGGCCTTCCTTGCCGGGGTGCTGCAGGCCGACCTCACCAGGGTGTTGTTGGCCTGCCCTTTCCATGCATTGACGGTCTACCCCACTGGGGGGGTGGAGGTCCCCCTCGCTGGGTGGCAGAGGTCAGGCTCACCTGGGTAATGCGGGCCCCCCTTCTCAGGACATCCCCAGTCTACTCCATTGTTGCGGTGGAGGTCTCCCTCGCCAGGGTGGCACGGGTCGATCTCGCTGGGGTGCTGCGGGCCTCCCCTCCCCAGATGTCCCTGGTCTACTCCATGGTAGAGGTGGAGGTCTCCCCCACTGGGGTGGTGCAGATCTCCCTTGCCAGGGCGGCGCTGGCTTCCCTCGTCCCCCAGGTGCCAGTCTACCTCCATGGAGCGCCAACGGGCCGCCTCGCCGGGGTGGTGCAGGCCTACCTCATTGGGGTGTTGTAGGCCTGCCTCATCGGGGTGTTGTAGGCCTACCACGATGGGGTGTTGTAGGCCTACCTCATCAGGGTGTTGTAAGCCTACCTCGGCGGGGTGTTGTAGGCCTACCTCGCCCGGCTGGTTTCGTTCCGCTTCCCTCCACCTTTTCCGGAGCTGGTTGATGTGACATCTACAGACCTGTCCATCTTCCCGCTCCACTCAGTAGGACTTCGGGCCGGTGATGCTCTCAATCTTCCCCTTCAGCCATTTTGAAAACCCGTGGAGATTGAGTGCGAATACCGGATCCCCTATGGTGAAGGTGTGCGGTGGCCGGCTGGTGTTTGGTGGCACCTCTGGGTTGTATTGGGGGTGCAGCCAATCCAGGGGTGACCTCAGTCTTCTGCCCATAAACAGCTCCACTGGGCTCTTGTGTGTGGTGGTGTGTGGCGTGATGTGCTGGGTAAGGAGAAATTTGTCGATTCTCTCTTGCCAGTCACCCATCTTGGTGAGTGCCTCCTTGGTGAATCTCACCATTCTCTCCACATGCCCGTTCCCAGCCGGCCTGTAGGGTGCTATCAGGGCATGACGGATGCCCAATCCTGCCAGGAACGCTTCCATGGCATGTAAGTTGGGGCCCATTGTCGGAAACCAGCACATCTGGTAGGCCGTGCGTTGCGAATAACCTCCGGAGCGCCCTGACCATTGCCTCTGTTGTGGTGGATGTCATGGGTATTACCTCCAGCCATTTCGAGAAGGCGTCCACTACAATTAGAAGGTGTTTCCCATTCATTGGACCCGCAAAGTCAATGTGGACTCTTGACCATGGGCTGCTGGGCGTCTCCCACTCCATCGGCTGGGCTTGTGGAGGTGCTGGCCTCACTTCCTGGCATGGGTTGCATTTGTTGACCCACTCCTCAATGTCTCTGTCTAGGGTTGGCCACCAGACGTAACTTCGTGCCAACCCCTTCATCATTATTATGCCCGGGTGCCCGCTATGGAGGGTTTCCAGGGTCTTTTGTTGCAGGGCATGGGGAATTACTATCTATCACCCCAGAGGAGGCAGCCATTCATGGTGGATAGCTCTTGCTGCTTCCTGCTGAACTCATCTCCCGTCTTCCCCGTGGGCCAGCCCCGCAGGACCCATGATCTTACTTGTCTGAGAGTCTTGTCTTTCTGGGTATGGGCTGCCACATCTGCAGAGGTTACCGGGCAAGCTTGGTCGTCATCGATGTGGAAGAGCCTGAGTGTGGGGGCTGGATCTTCCACTGGCTCTTTGGAAGGACATCTGCTAAGGGCATCTGCATTGCCTATGGTTTTGCCGGGTCTATGGATTGGTGTGTACTAGTACCTGGCTAGGAAAATTGCCCATTGCGTCATTCTAGGGGACATGTATGCTGGTGTCGGTTTATCCCCTGCAAGTAGCGGCTTGTGATCAGTGATGATGTTAAAACTCCTGCCGTAGAGGTATTTGTGGAAGCACTTGACACCAGCAATGATGGCCAAGGCTTCCTTATCCAGTGGTGAGAGGTGTTACATGGGAACGCCACGTCGCTCCTATAACCACCCCCGCGGCCGCACTCTGCGCCAATTGGAGCCTCCGAGTGCTCCTCAAGGGGAGCCCCATGTAGAGAACATTGCAATAGTCCAGATTCTTCCAAGGACTCCGATTGGGTTTCCTCCGAAGTCGACCAGCCTTGACCATAGGGGTTTCAGGTCCTTTTTACTGAAGCTTTACTGGCTTTAAGTGCTTCAGCTGATGCCAGTCCATGATGGAGTAGATTGATCCCAAATCTACTTCCATGGAGCATGGTGTCCCTTCCACGTGCACCGTCACATGGTACTTGGTGGCGTTGTTGTTGTTGGTGTGGGCAATTGTGGTCTGATGGACTGCTCTGCTCCTGGTGCCATTGTCTTCCCCTCGTCTGGGGGGGAGGAGGACCGTCTAGATGATCTTTGGTAATCTGCAAATTTCGCAAAAATGGTGGTTAGACGGTTCTGGAGCTGGATCCCCAGCTCTGCATGCTCCTGCGATGTGGCCCCTCTTCAGAAAACGTCTGCAGGTTGCATCTCTCCACCGGCATTTGGCCCTCGTGTGGTCCCCTCTGCAGCTGCTGCAGCGTTCCCCCCGGTCACCATTTTGCACGGCTTCCCGCCTTGGGGGTCTGGAGACCTTGTGGACAGCAAGGGACTCGGGACTCGTTACGCACGGTCACTCATGCCCTCGTCACCTCCCGTCTGGACTATTGTAACGCTCTCTACATGGGGCTCCCCTTGAGGAGCACTCGGAGGCTCCAACTGGCGCAGAGTGCGGCCGCGCGGGTGGTGATGGGAGCGACGTGGCGCTCCCATGTAACGCCTCTCCTGCGCGAGCTGCACTGGCTCCCGGTGGTCTTCCGAGTGCGCTTCAAGGTTTTGGTCATCACCTTTAGAGCGCTCCATGGCTTAGGACCTGGTTATCTACGGGACCGCCTGCTACCACCAATAGCCTCCCACCGACCAGTACGCTCCCATAGAGAGGGGCTCCTCCGGGTGCCGTCGGCCAAACAATGTCGACTGGCGGCTCCCAGGGGGAGAGCCTTCTCTGTGGGGGCACCTACTATCTGGAACGAGCTCCCCCCCGAGATACGGAGGATTCCGGACCTGCGTACCTTCCGTCGCACGCTGAAGACGTTCCTATTCCAGCAAGCCGGCCTGACCTAAACTTCTCCTCTTTTAAATGGGAATTTTAAATTTGGTTTTAAATTATTGGGGTTTTAAATATGGTTCAGCCAAATTTATCTAACTTGTTTTATTTCTATTTTAAATTTTGTATTTATATGTTTTATTTCATGGCTGTTCACCGCCCTGAGTCCTTCGGGAGTAGGGCAGTATACAAATTTAATAAATCTAAATCTAATCTAAATCTGTGATGTCATGATTCGGTGGCTTCGGCTTCTGTGACTTCAGCTCAGTGCCTGGCTCTGTTGGTCGGCTGGTGGTGTGCCACGAGGTTCATCGCTGTGGTTCTTTGTGTCCTTTGTTGCCAGTGTTAGATCAGGCACAGGGGAAGAAGACGTGATTAGCGATGGTCCATTCAGTATTTTATTCAGCTCAAGAATAGAATGCCGGCTGCGCTGCCGGAGCTCTCTTTTATAGCGCTCCGGCAGGCTGGGCCGCCCAGTGACAGCAGTTCATTTTTCCCACCGGTGGATTAGTCAATCCCCGACTGATGTCCTTATAAGGACATAACAACTTTTAACATAATCTGATCTTGTACTTGTCAATATTACCTTGTACATATTGACAAAAATGAATTATTGGGGATTCTTTGGTTTAGAAATAGAATTTAAGAATTCTTTCAGGCTAGTCTTACACATGCCTACTCTTCCCAGACTTCCTCTTCTATTGTTGACTGTGGAAAAGTTACCAAAATGGGATACACCCAACAAACAAATAGGTATTCGAGAAAAGGAAAGAGTAAGCTAGAATGAAAGTTGGCAAAAAGCATTCTAGAATTAACAGATTGGAGTCAGAGGCCAGAGGAAATAGAGGTCTTGTAAGCTTTATTTATTCTCTAGAAGAATAGGGAAAAGTTGGAAAAGACATACATTAAGTTCCAAGTTTTTGTCTCTGATATTTATTCATCTTTTCTGTTTCATATCTGACATGGCTGCATCTCTCCTACCCAAGCTTCATGAACTGACAGCTTGACATTATCAATTGGGGGGGGGGGAGGAGAGATTGGGATGTAAAGAGGAGAAAAGGGGGGAATGGAAGTCCAGCTGAGCTGGCTGCATTGTGAGAAGCTTCTGTCAATCAAGATCAATCACCAATATGCAGAGCTGAAACTGAAAGCCTGTTTCCTAAACAATATACAAGCACCTAAGTGGACATTTACAGATAACAGGGGGATGCAGGGGAGGGGGGAGAGGAAAATTTACTTTGTATTGTTTGCGCGGAAAACCTCAGATTCAGCTTACGCTACATCTGTAGTCACTTAAGTGTCAGTAAAATATATTCTTGGCAAAAGCAAATGGTCAAGAGTCTTTCTTTGCTAGATGACTGAGTGAGGTAGTTGGCAATACCACTGTTAAAAAAACTTCTCTTTTTCTCTATCTTTTTCTTCACCCCACCTTCCAGGATGGTGTTATTTGCAGATCTAATAATATTTCCTGCAAACTCTTCGGGAATGTGAAGGCACAGGACAGATATTGGTTAGGTAGCCTAAAAACAGATCCTTGATGTTGTTGCTAGCAGTACAAGCTTTCTCTCCCAGTACACACAACAACCTTGGTATTTTCACATGTAGTGAAATGACAGGAACTATTACATGGTATGGGATAAATGGTATGAATGGTTAGAGGAGAGGTATAAAGGGCAAGGAAAGATTAAATGAGGAAAAAACAGGAGTTTGAATATAGGAACAAATATGTAGAAAGGAAAAGGACACAGAATGCATGATTGTAATTTAGTACATTGATATTTTCATATGTATAAATAAATATTAGAATCACATGTATTAATAAATAGAAAAAAGGGACAAAATGGATATATAAGAAATGAAAACTGATGTGGAAATGTTGGAAAGAAGAATTTTACAATTCTTTTTTGTTTTAAAAAAACTGTTCAATAAAAATTATTTTTTTTTAAAAAAGAAAGAAATGACAGGGACATGTTATTCCTGTGCACCATAATGATCCTAATACTCTTCAGCAAACCTTCCAGTGCTATTCATGATAAATAACGCATATTACACTGTACCACAATTTTAATACCATAGTTAATTTTCCTTCTCTTATACTCTTTGCTTTGCAGTGTGGCTTCTCAACCACTTTACTGTTTTAATGCTATTTCTAATTATATGATTAGCCTCTCATTTATGTTTTTTAATGATACTTCTCCTTTCTTCATCTTTGGTTTAGCAGCTGGAAAAAAAAATCTGTTAGCTTTCATCAAAACCACTGAGTGCTGAGAAGAATGGGAAAATGTTGGACCATGGACAGGCAGGTGATTTTGAGTACAAAACTATATGTCTGTATCATATAGTAGTTGTTCTCTTTGAGCCATTTGACACAATATACCCATGGCTGAGAAATCAGTAGAAATTGTCTCTTTCTAGTTTTATGAGAAGGCTCCATTGCATCATTTGTTTCAGTATTTCAGTATGATTTAGTTGAAATTATAGATTTTTTTTTTTAAAAAGCAAGGAATTACTGGCAAATTTAGAGGTGCAGCTGTCTGACTGACTCTCTGTTAACTAGTGACAGCTGAGCTGAAGAATCCTTTTAAGAATGTATATGACAGTAAAAGGTTCAGAGGGGGTGGAAGTAATTTGAAGAAAGCTTGCAGTTTCTCAAAGATTTTGGAAGTTGTGGGGGTGGGAGGAAGACAGATGGATTCTGAGTTGCTACCAGAACTGCTATTTGCAAACAGAGAGGGTTACCATGATTTATGCCAATTCACAATACTGCAGTTTTAGAAATAGTGATTTTAATAAATAAGTAATTAGAAGAGGTAACAGTAGCCAGCAACCTGGGTAAGTTTAAAGTAGGATTAAATAGATTCATAAAAGCAATAATTATGTCTCTATATTGCTTCCAGAATTTTTGTATACTAGGCCTATTTATTCAACTTACTAGGAACAGCAAGCAGAAGCTTATTATTTTCATTTGTATTGGTACTTCTCCAACTGTTTTAGTAACGCACAGCTCCTGAATCTGGAAGTTCTGTCCTGTTATCACTCCTTCTACATCATTCCTTCTTTACACAATGTTATTTCCATTTAAAACTATTCACAGGCACAATATTTTGTGGTGGACATGTATGTGTAAGGAATATTGGCAAATGTAATCTAAAATCACATAGCTGAGTGATATATATACTGCGTGTTTCTGAATCTTGCTTTTCCTAAACACAAATAGTTTGAAAGTTATCTTCTGACAATTTATACTATGGAGATACGAACTGGAAGAAATATCAGTTTCTAGGAACATAATTTGATAGATAACACAATGGTAGAGATAAGGGACATTAGCATAGGGATTTTTCCCCCTCCCCAAAAGATCCTCTGTGGACGTAAGTGAATTAGCTATAATTAGAAATTACTTTTTTTTCCAGCTATCTAGCTTTAACTCATCACCAATAAAGGCAGTTGGAGAAGAACCTTTGCTAATTCTGTCAATAATTACTTTTTTGCATTTTGTTTCTCCAATTTGTCAGAGGCCAAGCATTTTTTTCTTTTGCACATGCTGTTTAAATAATAAATCCAAATTACTATAAAAATGAGTACAATTTCCAATTGCATTGCAGCAGATTAATAGAAAGTAAAATTCCAAATTAGTTTCTATGCCTTGTATAAAATATGTGAATGTGTTTAGAGACCCTGGTATAACCTGCAGTTCATTAACCAAATAAGTGCATTAGCTTCTGCATTCCTGCCTGTTCTCAGTTACTTGTTACCACTACTTGCCCTTAGAAAGCTGATTAGACAGGTGAGAAGTATTGTATATGATAAATATAAAATCATACATAAAGCGCCAGCATTTGACATATGAAATTGTTCATTACATTGTTCATGTAAATATTAGGCTGCTCTTACTTCGTTCTATTTATCTTATCAGAGCATTTTAATTAAAAAAAACACCTGAATCCATGGCTAACTGAGGAATGAACCTATATACATTTGATTAATAAATGTTTATGATGGTATTAAACTGGAATATAAATATAAATAAACTGGAAATTTGGATTCTATTTTGGAAATATTTTTGCAAGCTTCCCAGGAATAGATGGCCTCCTGCCCTGCCATAAGGATTCTTCTTATGCTCTTAATATTCTGCATAGAAGTATTTCGTTTTTCCAGTTGAATTCTTTTATTTTATACACAGAAGATTGCTATGATTTTCTTTTAATTAATATGATATAAAAGCTTAGTCTGATTTGTGCTACGTTCTGCATCAGCTATCATCATAGCTACTTTTTGGAGAAGCTTTGTTTAATAATCATATTGCACTGAAATCTGCTTTGAATTTCTCAAAAAAATGCATCCCAGAAGGAAGAGGCTTCTACCGTGGTGGGTTGCTACTGGATCGCCCCGGTTCAGGCAAACTGGTAGCAGCAGCATCGGGAAGCTCTGCCCACTCGTCCAGACGTTATCAAATATGCACATGTATAGAAGCAAACTGATAGCAAAGGTAAGTGAAACCCACCCCTGGGCTTCTAGGTTTCTGCCTTATTCTCAGGGTGGTTGAGATTTTTTAACACTTTTCTTGGTTGGGTTTTGTCAGAGTTTCTTGCAAAAATCCAGAAGCACACACAGATAACTGATTCAGCTGGATTCATTAACTTCTTTATATACATAATAACAGATGAAGTATTTACAATACCAATAGTTGATTCTTCAACGTAGTAGCAGTTACAACACAAAGCAGGAGAGAACAGTTAGTTTCATTTCAGTAGAGAAGACAAGCATGAATAGACTGTTTCAGTTTCAATTCTCTGCACAGACTCAGAAGCTGCAGACTAAGACACGCTCTGGCTCCAGTCTGTCTCAGCTCCCAATTGGCTGATTTAGTTGCTATGCCTATTCATTAGCTGGCTTTGTTACCATGTCTGTGCCAGTTCATGCATAATCTGACAGGTTTTTAAATTTATTTTATTGTTAGAGTTGAAAGATTTGGTACTGCTGGTATTGCAGTTTTTGATTATGTGTCTTCCAATCATTTAAGTCCTCCTGGCTGGTTCATGTTTCCCAATCTGGAAAAAAAAAGCCAGTGGAAGAGATTCAGTCATAATTTTTGAGGATTTAATTGAGGAATATGAAACCACTAACCAGATGACTGTAGATCCCACACAGAAGAAGAAAATATAAGTAGCTCAGGATTGTACTGTGGAGCCCTTGGTGCTCTCAATGCTTGATTGTTTGCTTCAACATTTGCTTGCAGATGTTTCATTATCCAATGAAGTAATATTACCAATACTAGTGAGTGTGGAGTTTGCTCCCTGTTTATATACAATAGTTTGTCCTTTGTAAGCCAAAGAACTTACAAAAAAGCTTTGAGGATATGTCACAGAGGGGAGAGAATATTCTATCAACTCCCCACTATAATACTTCCAAAGACTTAAAAGTAGAAGAAGTTCAGATTATGCTTTCATTAGATATCACAGCATTCTTTATACCCATAGATCAAGAATTAATGAAATAATCCATGGCGGTCGTACAACACAATACACCTGACCTAGCCCCAATATACTAGATTGAAATATCTAGAATCATGGACCTCATCATTCTCTGCTTCACTATCTACTTTAAATTTTCTGTCTCACTACCTCCTTTCAGTTTGATGGAAAAGTATAGACATATGAAACAATCCAAATCATCTTCAAAGAAATAAAATTTAAAAAGGAAGAAGAAAATAATGCAGTACTCTTTCTGGATATCTTCATCAGCTGAGGAAACAACAGCAAATTAGAAACCTAAGTCTATCAAAAAAAAAAAAACATTCTCAGGAGTTGTTTACAACATACAGTATAAGGACTGTAAGAACCACTATGTAGAATAGACAAACAGAGACAAGCAGAGTGCATGTATGTGGATCCATGTGCGCACTCACACCCACACCCACCCATCTTAACCTTATTACCTTATAATCAAATAAATGAAAAAATACCATATACTTTTGTCAAAAATCTTTTTCTTTGATAGAAATTTCAAAAGCAAATTCTCTTTCATAAAATTAAATGAAAATTAATAGAAGCAGGACAATTTCTCTGCTGATATCCTTTCGAAATAGCAATAACACTTAGACTTATACACCACTTCACAGTGCTTTACAGCGCTCTCTAAGCAGTTTACAGAGTCAGCATATTGCCCCCAACAATCTGGGTCCTTGTTATGTATGTAGATTTGGGCGGGCAGTTTGAATTAACTGACCGTCAGCTGATTGGCTCACCACCACAATTGCAAGGTATATAAAGGGAGCAGATATTTATGGTTGTCGTGGACGCTTTCTCAAAGTGGTTGGAGATCAGACTCATGAAAACCACTACCACCGACGCCGTCATTTGGGAGCTAAGGCAGTTGTTCGCCACCCATGGCCTACCGGACACCTTAGTCTCAGATAACGGGCCCCAGTTCATGCCACGCAGTTTGAGGAGTACCTACCAGAGTTGGGGATCAGACACGTGCTCTCCACCCTGTTTCATCCGGTTAGTAATGGATTGGCGGAGAGATTTGCGAGAACGGCTAAGGACGCCATCTCACCCCTAGGCCCCGGGGACTGGCAGGAGAGGATAGATAAATTCTTAATGGCCCAACATGCCACACCATGCACAGCCATAGGCAGGAGCCCGGCGGAACTCCTGATGGGGAGAAAGCTCCGAGGAGTTCTAGACAGGCTACACCCCAGTTATTCCCCTGACAACTTCAGAGGGGCAGAGAAAAGACATAGGGAGTTCACAATAGGAATGCCAATATTTGCCAGGAATTACAGGAACGGGCCCCTCTGGGAAACCAGGACAATCACAGAGGTAACAGAGCCCAAGTCGTATAGGGTACACATGGGAGATGGGAGGATTTGGTACATTGACCAGCTACAGAAGCATTGGGCCGCTGACACCGAAGACACATTCGACGAACCGCTCCCTAACTACCAACAGAACTCTCGACCTAACTCAAACCTGAGTCTAGCGGAGGACTTAGCTGTCGCCCCTGAGATCCAGCGCCGCCCCATCGTGGAAGATCGACCAGCCGCAGAAGTCGCTGCCCACAATGAATTCTCGGAAGTTCCATTGGCGGAGCAGGGAGAAACAGGGAGTTCCTCTGACCTGCTCGACGCCACACCTCCAACTGAACTGCGCAGGTCAACTAGGGTGCAGACATGCCCTGGTCACCTGAGAGACTTTGTATGCTAATGTCCACCCCAAGTGACTTCTGGGAGGGGAGGAGTGTTATGTATGTAGATTTGGGTGGGCAGTTTGAATTAACTGACCGTCAGCTGATTGGCTGACCACCACAGCTGCAAGGTATATAAAGGGAGCTGTTTCCCCTGGTCAGTTGCTGGGTTCTCACCCTACAATAAAGAGCTATTGTCACTCACTGCCTGGCTTGCTGCATCCTCATTCACCCAACTTAACAGTCCTCATTTTACTGATCACAGAAGGATGGAAATCTGAGTCAATCTTGAGCCAGTCAGGATCAACCTTCAGGCAGTGGGCAGAGTTAACTTGCAATATTAATCACTGTGCCACTATGTCTTTTAAATGTCACAATATGTTTTCTTCATTGTCTCTATAATTAATACTTTTTCAAGTTGAACATCTAAAAGATCAGATGTTAATCACCTCCCAAGAAAAAGCCCAATTCTAAAGCTTTCTATCTTCACATAATAGATACTGCTACCAAAAAAACAAAAACAAAACTCAAGTATGTAGTCAAGACATTACTAATCAAGGATGAATAATTCTAGCACTTTGATATTGCTCAGGAATAGAGATGGCAAAGTTGACCCATGTCCTCAAAAAAAAAAAAAAAAGCTGCTGAATGATAGAAAGTAAGCTACCTTTCGATTAAATGTAGAATGAAGAAACCTTCCATAATTAATTGGAAGGTTAATTGTAATTGGACTGTTTTAGCATTAATTTATTGTCTTGTTTTTTATTGTTGTGAGCCGCCCTGCGTCCTTTGGGAGAAGGGTGGCATATAAATGTGAGTAAAATAAAAAATAAAAAATAAATAATTAACAATTCATGTATTTCCTTCCCTTCGTCCGTGTAGTAACTTCAATTTAAATACAAAGAATAGTATTGTATTCTCATCTAAATATTCTGGAAGAGTAATAGATCACATTTAAAATCCATTATTATATTACATTTTTTTGCAGGAAATAAAAGACCAGGATATTCTCTGATGAGAATTCTTCCCCAAAAGGAACAAGTGCCAGAGGGTGACTAAAATTCTTAACAAATAGCTCCCTACAAGATTTTGCCTTGACCCTGTTATGCTTGAAGATTTCAAAGTCTCATATTTGTTTCATTAGTAATACTAATCTTTTACAAATGCACCCATATAATTGTATGTACATATGTACATACATACATTTTCTTCCTGAAAAGGTCAAGGCTTTCTGATCAGAACAGGAACTTTAGCATTTGTTTGGGTTGTTTATCGAAAAATGCAGCCAACTGTGAATGTGACCCTGCTGAAACATAGTCATGAATGAAATTGTCTTCTTAAATTTTTCAACCATTTTCCTCTCCTTCTGTTGCTCAAAAATGCAATCATGTAAACATTACTCTTGCCTAAACTGCAAGTGCTTGCAAATGCAATTTTTTCCTACCTTATGAAGCAAGAAACCAACTTTTCTGAGACAATTTTTTTTGCTCTAAAAGCTGATACCCTCTAAATGCATTGGATAAAACCTTTGTAGTTGCAAACAGGATTACAATTTACCATGCTACCTTGAGACTGTGGGAACTGTCATTTGTTTGCTTGATTGTTTATTTATATTTCATATTTTTAAACCACCTGTCTCCCTCAAAGAGTAGCTCTGGACAGTGTACAGTATAATATAACCGATAAATAAAAAAATAAGATTAAAATTTAAAATTAAATTAGGACTAAAAGTTTTCCAATTATAGAATAATGACAATTAATGACATTAGCCTGTGACATCTAGATTAGTAAATGAAGCTACTTCAGATTGGGATGATTTCTAGCAATATGTTCCATTGAATTTTCTATCAAATTTAAAGTTGCTTAGTTCAGCAAAAGGTTAAGGACACTATTATTTCTATATATCCCAGCTAAGGCGCGCAATCCCGTTGCAAACCGGTAGTAAAGATAAGTAGAACCCACCCCTGTCTCACACAGGCATCTCATGCATGCGCAGGGGTGGGGTGGAGTGCAGAGGAGGTGTGGCACTTCCCCCACGGCCCATTTTTGGGCCCAGGAGGCTGCAGGGAGGCTTGCTAGGCCAAAAACAGGGGGCAGGGGAGTCACATGCATGGGGGGAGCATGGGGGTTAATGTGTGTGTATGTAGGAGGGGTGGGGGAGCATGGGGGGTCATGCACGCATTCAGGGGGGTGCATTGCATTATGGGTGCTGGCACACGCACACTTTCGGCACACAACGAGAAAAAGGTTAGCCATCACTGTTCTAGACAATGCAGTTCTGACAGCTTAGAATGCTAGTTCATTTTGTTCAGCTCTTATGCGCTTATCCTTGGTGCACTGCAGGGGGTGAACTAGCTTTATATCAGCTAACTAGCTGCTGGCTGTTCTGGGGTCCTCCGCTGGTCTTGTCTCGTCTGAATCATGTTGCAATGCCTTGTGTCCAGCCAGGTCTATCATCAGCTTCTGCTCTCTACACATACAAATGCAGCTAGGTTTTTCCCGCCAAAGTGGTACCCATCTATCTACTTGCAATGTTGGATGCTTTTGGACTACTCGGTGGGCAGGAGCTAGGGATTGATTAATGGTTGAACTATCTTGTGAAGCTGGGTTCGAAACTCCTGAGTGCAGACCATTTCTGTCTGGCAGTTCCAGCATCATTAAGCCTCTGCACCACCTCATCCCCCTCTTTGCAAAAGGATGTAGATATACAGTATTAAGAAATGTTGGATCATGATAAATTGCCTACATAAAATCTAACCCAGTTTTTAAATGTGTACTCATCAATTCCCACTCCAGCAAGCTGTTTAATTAAAAATGTGAAAATACAGAGACTTAATCTTTCCTATACTTTAAGGTAATTTCTTTTATAAATTAAATCTTTCATGCATCAGGATCTTGCTGAAGTTTGTACAGACCGCAAAAAAATCTTTTATTTGTAGATAAGCACATAGAAACTAATTGGATCATGCAACTAACCTGCAGTTTACTGCAATATTTATTCCTAATCCCCTTCTTCCATCTTTGTTGAATTGTGCCAAGGATCACCTTCTAATTATATGTTCCAAAATTATCTTTAAAGTTGCATGCATCTATCAACCAGATATAAACTGTGAAGAATAAAGATGAAATAAAAATCCTTACCCCCAAAGTTTCTCCTGACAAGCCTAGAAAAAGTCCCAGAATTACAATTGTACTTGGATTTATCGATACTGTGGGTATACCATACATTGCATTTCAGTTAATAGTTCTGGTGAATGCCTAGCCCTTAAAAATGACCAGAATTTTTGTGTTAATGTTCAGAACAATGACCAGTGTTTGATCTGGCTCCTTACAAGGAATACTCTATGCTTTTTAACAAGCTGGATATCTTGAATACATATGTCTAAGGAAAAAGCAGCTTGAAGTGTTTGCTTCTGATTTGTTCTATGCTCAAAAGATTTAGGTGTATGATGGGAAGGGTGTAAACCCTAGAGGCCATACCAGAAGTAGCAACTCGAGATCTTCTGCTAATATCTGCATAGGGATGAGCATTTTCAGAAAGTGCTTCCACGAATGATACTTCAAGATGTAAACTGCCTAGAGTTTGAAGTTAAAATAGGCAGTTAATTAAATGTTTTAAATAAAATGCTTTTTATTGTGCAATTCCCTTTCAGCATTTTATAAAAATACAGACCACTATTTTGAACAGATGGTCCTCTTCTAATTTCGTATTTGATCTTTTTCTTTTCCTTTTTTTTAATAGCAAGAAATCTCTAAAGAGGGAACACACAGTGATTTTTTGGTTGGGATGGTGAGAATGGAATAGAATGATATTGGGAGGATTCATAACTATCCATATCGGGCCAGTTCACTTCACATGTCACACCAACTCTATTTTATTTTATTCTACTCTGTTTTACTTAAAAGGCTGCTCTCCCCCCAAATTACTCTGGATGGCTTACAGAAAGGAAAATGTTATGTATGCCTAGCGAAAAATTACCTATTGTAATTCAAAAGAAGGCCACTAGGGATTCAACCAACAATGAAATTCCAGTCTTGGAAACAAAACGCCATATTCAAAGACGTATTGTACCTTATGGATAGAAGTCCTGTGAATAACTTATTAGGGAAATGTATATGATTGCTGAACTTACAACTTCCAAGAGAGTTAAATTGGTAAACCTTTGATTTCTTAGCATATGCAATTGAAAGCATAATTGAACTTAGCTCTTGTAGTTCTCTCTCCTGTCTAAACAGAGTTGCTAGTGGCTGCTGCAATCAGGGAAGACTGACTCCTGATGTTATATTCTTAGGATGCTTTATTATTCCAATACTAAGTCCTCACAGTTAAGCCCCTTTCTGAAACTGCAGCTCTTAAGCAGCACATATATTCTGACCCGATATTTAATGCACAAATCCAGATGTTCATTAGATGGGAACCAACAGATTTTTAAAAATCTAACTCTTTTCAGTGTCTTGGGTTTAACAAACAATCAATTTATATTTTCAAAGATTAAAAAGTTCAGTCAATTAATGATAGACTCAAAAGAAAAAAACGCAGTGCATGGAATAACAGCTGCATTGTGCATGACAATTGGAAGAGGGTTTTTCATATGCAAGATTAGAATTTCAGTGAAGGGAACTATAAATTGTAAACTGTAAATTTTTTAGTTGTACATGTTAAAACTTGTAACAGCTAGCTTTAGGGCAACATAATTTTCTGCTGCCTCTTGGATGGGCAAGGAGTATGATGAAAATTTGTGTGATAGAACAGAAACACAAAGATGATAGATACCACTGATCAAACAAGGGTTCTTATTAGACCTTTTCTTGAAGCTCCATCCATTGATGTGAACACTGAACATGGTTCCAGTTTTAATCCAAAATTCTGCTTCGAGGTAAATACATTTCCAGTGGAGTTCTTCTGGAAAAGGATGGAAAAGGATTTTTATTTGCCATTCTGTAATAAAAAGAAAAAAAAATTGTTATTGCAATGGTTTAGAGCATTCTGGACTTTCTTATACTTTTGCAATGTTTATCATTTTTATATATATACATTTTATTAAATGTTTTATAAATAATATAAAATAAACACTAATAGAGAAGGGAGGAAGGAAGGAAGGAAGGAAGGAAGGAAGGAAGGAAGGAAGGAAGGAAGGAAATAGAAGTTTCCAATTTCTTCTGCGGTAAATTTAAATACAATTACAATATTAACTCTTACTCTATGATTACAAAAAGGCTCACTTTTTTCTGTTATTCAGTTTTTTATACTCATCAAAATGATAAGCTGTGAGTGCTTCTTTTCCTGTTGCACATAAAAAGTCTATAACAATATTTATCATTTTTTAATGGAATTCTTGAAATAGCACAACCTATCCTAGCCTGGTGGTTGCCAATTGTTCTGGAACTAGGATTCCTAGTAATCATAGTGTCAGCTTTGGAAGCCATATTAGGCTGGAAACTTCCATGCTGCCACCTTCTCATGTGTGGGAAAGTAGGAGGGGGCATTTAGTAGAGGGGTTGTCTGTAGACTTAATAGCATTCTTCCTGTCGGTCAAGGTCAGGGCGATCCTGCATCTGGAGAAGGAATGGTCGAAGTGAGGTCTCAAGATGGGACAGTAGTTGATTGGAGCATGTGATCGACTGAGGAGTGAGGGGATGGTTTGGGGGGTTTTGATTTACTGAGGGAAAACCCGGACCTCTCAGTTTCGGGTTTTCCCAGATGTGCCAGTTTACCTATTCTAGTAAATAGAACTTTACTTTGGGGATTTTTCTGGAATGCTGACATATAGTTTATATAAATGTTTTAATACATGATACTGTTTTTATGTTGTTGGTATTATTTTTAGCCCCATGCAGATGTACAAAATGTGTAAATGTTAACAGTTGACCTCCAACCTCTTTAGAAATCTGAAATGTAGATTTAGATATACATTATGGACATTGGTCCATTAATAATCTGGAGCATCTCTTTTCTTGGTTCCTGACTGCATACCTCTATAACTATCTTTCAATTAACATAGTTGTATTTCCTTTTCAGTCTTTCAAGAAAAACACATGGATATTAGAAATGGAGGAAATGGATCTGCAACATAGAGTTTTTGCTCTCTGGCTCTTAGAAGACTGATTGCCCTAGAAGCAGCTTAAATTATTTTTATATGTTATATTTCCTCAAAGTGGTATTCACATCTTTGCTTCTGAAAATATTTCCAAAACACTCTTGTGAAATATCTTGAACATGAAGTCCTCAGTTTAGAAAAGCAATGCAGGTAAACATTGACTCACCCGTACAATCTTAGTTTGCATCAGGAATTCAGGGTTTATTACAAACCAGAGATTGGAGAGCAGGGGCTGTTCTAGAGGGAGTGGTAGTCTCCTACATAGTAGCTGTTTCATGTGCCTCATATGCTTACAAAATGCAAAAGATAAGAAAGATGATAATTGGCCTCAAGGGTTATGTGTATATTAGGAAATCTGTGTTTAAGATCTCCTCACCTTGCTTTCACATTTGACAAATATAGTAGAAGACATTTGTTTCTCAAATTTTAAAATAGGGCAGTTTAAGACATTCAAGTAGGAGAAAATTGGACGCATATAAAATAGAGGTTTGACAAATCCTTATATTTTCTTTCTATTTTGGAATAAACACATTTCTGCAACAATGAGTGAAGAATTCCCCCCCCTCCCCAGTTTTTTTCTTTCCAAGACATTTTTACTGAAATAAAGCTGCTCTTGGAAGCATTTCACTGAATCAAATGCAAATGATAGCATGCAGGTGTTTGCCTGCAGATATTTTGTACCAAGAAAAATACTTAAGGCTTTTTGTTGATAGTCACAATTCGGAGGCAATGCCAAAAATTAACATGGCATTGTATCAATCGTATTCATTTTTATTGCATTCTGAAGCACTGATGTAATACATTTGAAAACAATTTACAGAAATAAAAATACCATTTTATGATAATTGCTTCTATAAATTTTCCTTTCCTAGGTTACTACTTTTAAAATGATCAAATATATTTGACTTGGTTATTCTTTAAATAAGATTTGCTTTGCTTGCTTCCTGAGGCCATTTTAAACTAATTCTATTAATATAAACAAGCCTCTAATTGCTGATCAGTAAGGATATAAACTTTCATTACTCAGCAAGACCACTCATTTTCATTATATATGTTAAAAAGTGATGTCAGCATGTGTTAGCTTGTTTTCAACCTAAATTTAAGTTCTTTGTACTTTCCGTTTGTTAAATAAAAATGGCACTGTGTCTGTGTCTATTCAATATGCTATATTATTTGTATACTTTCCTGATTTTCATATAATTATGTAAGGCATTTTATATAGTTGTGTGTGAAAATGCACTCTAGAGGTTATCTTAAAAAGACACATTCAGATATGATGATATTCATCAAAATTCATGTTATGATTGCAAACTAATGTATATGATATTCAGACACATTGCTTTTCAGGTAAGTTACCATCGATAAGAAGGAGCCAGGTATGCCAACCTTGTTGGAAAATTATTTCTATATTAGTTTACACATTTAGCAACAATCATTTTTAACCAGATAAAGCAAAAATGCTACCATTTAATTCACTTAACAAAAGTATAGCTTAACAGAATAGCAGAGTTGGAAGAGACCATGGAGATTTTCTAGTCCAAATCCTGCTCTATCAGGAGACCATATATCATTTTATAAAATGGCTGCCCAGTCTCTTCTTAAAAGCCTCCAGTGATGGAGCACTTATAATTCTGAAGGAAAGCTGTTCCACTGGTTGATTGTTCTTACTGTCAGGAAATTTCTCCTTAGTTCTTGTTTTCTTCTCTCCTTAGTTAGTTTCCATCCATTGCTTCTTATCTTGCATTCTGGTCTTTAGAAAATAAGCTGACCCCCTCTTCTTTGTGGCAGCCCCTCAAATATCGGAACACTGCTATCATGTCACCCCTAGTCCTTCTGTTTACTAGACTTTACACACCCAATTCCTACATCTGTTCATTATATGTTTTAGTTTCCAGCCCCTTAATCATCTTTGTTGGTCTTCTCTGCACTCTTTCCAGAGCTTGATGCTTATTTACTAAAATCAACTAACATCAAATAGTTAACTAGCAATAATGGGATAAAAGGCAAGGCAAGAACAAAGATAAAGAGTGACATGAAAGGCATGAATTTTCATTATGCATATCAAAAGGCACAAAATTTCTTGACTATTGGAGCCCTGTACGTAATTTGCCGGGAGTCCTACAGAGAGTGGCCTTTGGTAGTTCCAACTTTAACCCTTTTATGTACATAACAGAAACAGAATAGAAATGGAAAGCCAGATGATTTTTCCTCTAATTTACAACATAAAGGAATAATCTGGTGGACAGATATATGATATATATCATTATGTCCTGCATGTCTGTAGAAGACTGATAATGAAATTTCTGGCTTTGAATACAAGGGACAAATTATGAAACTGAGAAATATACTTTATCAGAATCCAAAGCCTCACAAAAGGTTCTCTTGAAGATCCATAAAAGTTAAATAGAAGCTTCCAAGATTTTTCCAATCAATATGTGAATTAAGAACATTATATTTATATTACACTTATCATACAATCCCTTTTTCAAATTGGCAGAAATCTACCATGGCCAATTCTGAATAATTCAAAACAGTATGCCTCCTTTATTTAATTTTTTTAACTATAGGCTTTTCCAGTTTTAAAAAAGAGAATCTGTTCTTATACTTCATCATGTTCATACAGAAGAAATTCGGACTAAGCACCTTTACCATCAGCAGCACCCAGATCAGCATAGATTAATATCAGACCAACAATCAAGTAAATAATACTCAGACCAAGAAACTGCCAAAGAGCCAACAGTAAAAAGCCAAACCAAAGAATCTCTAAGACCACCTCCACCTCCACCAGAATATAAACTGAGAGCAAACTGCACTCCATACTAGCACTGATGATGTTACCTAGTTTGGGTAATGAGACATCTGCAAGATAACAAACAAGCTCCAAGAGCACTAAAGATTCCTCATTTCAATCCCTAACTACAAATATTCTCCTTTATTGGTAACCAATGTCATAAATACATGCCAGTAACCAAATGTCCTAATTTTGATTGTATAACCATGAGAATTTTGCAACAGTTTTATGAAAACCACTCGTAAGACACTTTTGTCAGTGCTGTTGTAACTTTGGACAATCACTAAAGGAATGGTTGTAAGTCAAGGACTATCTGTATATACTTAATGCTAGTTTATTCACTTTATGATAGAGATAGATCATACACATATATTCCTAAAACTGACTGAAATTTAATAAAATATAGTATTGGTTACTGTTCGTCTTTGGAGTAGACCAATGATGCTTTCTGGGATTCTTTTCATCAAGTTGGAACAGGGTGAGGCTATTCAAATGAGATTCTTCCATAAATTGAGTCATAGGCTCTTCAGTAAGCAGAATTCAACATTAGTGCTCATATTATTAAGCTACAGCATTCCCTTAAGTCTCATTTATGCCTTATATCAGCATTCTGTAATTTGGCACTTTCTAGATGTGTTGGAGTGTTACCTCCTAATTTCTCTAGCCAACTTGACCATTCTACAAATTCTAGAAGCTGCATCTCCAATACATCTAAAGGAATGAGATTAAGTAACAGTGCTTGCACACTGAAGTCAAAGAGCAATTTCTCTTTTCCCTCCTTATAACATCAGAAAACATTATCAATTATGCAACAAAAGCATAAGTAAAACTATGTTTCATCAAGCCAAGGGCCCATCAAATTCAGCATCCATTTCCTATGGTGACCAAACTCTTGTATACTGTAATCCATAAGCAGAACATGAAAGACATGGCTTATTCCAATTGTCAGCGTTCCAGAAAAATCCCCAACTCCAAGTAAAGACTCTGAAACAAGCATTTTTCAAAGTTCTATTTACTAGAATAGGTAAACTGGTACATCTGGGAAAACCC